CGTACGACCGTTCGTACTCCCCGTATCTGTACGGGGTGTTTCACAGTTTTTAACACCTAAAATTCCTAAATTCCGAGATTTTGAATTTCTGAATCTCCAAACTGCAGAAACCTTCCATAATACCTTTTTTTTTAATTAATTAATTAATAATTAATTAAGTCTTATCTAATCCTTGATTCCCTCAATATGGTTACAGGCGTTTTGATGCTCTCTTGGAATTCTTATAGCATTCAAATCTAATCTCACTTCTTATTTCATCAAAAATTGGAGGTCTAAATGTCGTCCTAAATTTTGTTTTCTCCTCCAACGTGCTCTGATTATTTACTTTCGGATGATGGAGGTTGGGTGTTGAGGGGGAGAGCTCTACTCTGCAGGGGCTTCATAAGGTGGGTGGTGAATGCTCTGAAGGGGATGTGGGCAGAATATGGGGATCGACCTATTCTGTGGCTGGGGTAGAAGTACATTCTAGCATCATACCCCAGTGGGGGCAGATTAGGGTAGAGGTTGTCAGAGGCATACTTTAGGTGGGAATTGGATGCCTTTGTAGAAACAGGAGGGGGAGGGGGTCTGTTCCGAAAGCCGACCACGCAAGAACAGCCGCAGGTTTGGAGGCTTACATGTGGGCGGTGTGTGTTGGCAGAGGGTGTATCCAACTCTGTTCATCTTGTCTGTGGAAGAGGCTTTTGTCTATCCCCCCTGCAGCCACGACTAGAATGTCATGAATATTTCCATATTGTAGCGGAAGATTCATTACGAGTACATTGCAAGCCTGCACGTCCTGTCGGTGGAAGTAGCCCTCTTTAACCCGGATCACGGCGTATGTGGTCATGTTGTAGCGGTCGATTCGTTCCCTTTTTGTACGTTCGGCAAGTTGAACCGAGGGAGCATGGAGGTATATGCAAGAGAGGGAGAGAAAAGAGAGGCAGAGGAGAGCGGGGTGACGCTGGGAAGGCAGCGGACGAACGAGGGCAAGTGAAGTGGAGGGTCGTGGGTACATACCTGGTTCGGCGACGGACTACAAGTTTGATATCCTCATGCACTTCGGTTGTTGTTGTTGACACCAACAGGATGCACTGTCAATTCATAGACTACTGGTAACTGGGCAGTGAGCACCAAGTGGGAAGAGTATACACTGCCCGAGTACAGTTACTCGAGATTGTATAGCTATGATTTAGTCAGATGAGGTGGCACTGCAGGCTGCTGTGGAAGGAGTCCAGATTCTACGACGGGACAATCGGGAGTCTGAGCAAACGGTCATTACTGAAAGTTGAAGGGTCGGCCAGTGGGTTGTTACATTTAATAGTTTAGGCTATTGCAGCGTACGTTATGCTCCGTCATGCGTTGACATTACGCTCGTTGTGCAACCTGTTGAACTGTTGAACGCATTGTTAGGCCTGTGAAGTGTGTTGTGTCTATTGAATGTTGCGCCTGTAGGGCTGATTGTACGACACTAAGGCCGTACTGCGTTTTGCATTATGCATGGCTACGGGGCTGGTTGTTGAGCACAATTACTGTGTACCAGCAACCCTTTTAGACTGCACAGCAGAGTTGGTCAAGCTGGCAAAGGGGGTCCTTGCTGCAAATTGGAGAGTCGTCAGAGAGTCAACTGGTGGCAGTCTTAGTTCAGTTGACCAAGTTTTTTTGCGAATTGGAAATCATTACGGGACCCTCAGGCACATGAAGGTATCAAGGCCCTCTCCAAAGAGTTGAGTCAGTCCCTCTCGTATATCTCGAGAGTGTGAAACCCCTTCTTCTGCCCTTCTTACTCTAAGTCTAATCCTGTTCAGAGAGAAAGGCGGCAGGCGGGATTGCAAACCGTAAGACTGCAGCAAGACTTTGTGGGGAGTCTGCCCACCGATTGTGGGAGCTCTGCCGGTACTCAGGAGTTATGAAGGCAGAGAGCTGAAAGGTAACTAATACTAACCATTGCTTCCTTCTATAAACCCAGTTATAACCCCTATCTGTACTTCTCGCTACATTTTGACTGAGTGTATTGCATGCATCCCTATATTGATTTTGAGTTTAACTTTCTGTACACAAATCAGACCTAAGTAAAAGAATACGTGTGCAATTTCAGTTTCAGTTTTGTTGTTTGTCTGAAAGTAGATTGTAAAAAGGGTTTGCATTTCGGGGAAAGGTGGGAGGAAGGTGGTATTGTTTGTGTTTGACTAGGTCAACCAAAGGTTGGGCAAGTCCCCATAAGTTTGGAGGGTCCATCGCTATGTTTTATTTCGATTGTTTGGAGGACCAGACAGGTTTCCATAAGTTTGGATGGTCTGGTTGCTTTGACTTGCGAGGGCTATTCATGATTCTTTTTTCAGGGACCAAGCAAATTTCAATAAGTTTGGATGACTTGGTCGCCTTGTGTCATTTAGGTTTTTCTTATGTTTATTGGTTTGTGAAAGAGAGTTGGGCATGTTCCATAAGATTTGATAACTCTAACTCTCATTGTTTTATTCTGAGGGAAGATCAGACAAAGGACTGAACATGTTTCCATAAGTTTGGATGGTCTGGTCAGGAGCCACACACATGTTGGAACTAGAAGGGTACATTTTATCTATATCCTTATGTTATTTTACTTACGAACAGGCTGGTCAGACATGTTTCCATAAGATTGGATGGTATAACTATAACTTATCACAAAATGAATAGAGTAACAATTAAGAGTAAACTTGTGGTAAAAAGGGTCAAACTGAACTTTGATCTAAATTGAGCGGTTCAGTCATATGTTGTCTTACAAGATTAAGTGCAAAAAATTATAAAGAATTGGGAATCTTAAACAGTTCAAGGTGACTAGGTTGGATAGCCTAGTCACATGCTCAAGGAAGAGAAAAGTTGTGGTGCCCTGTGTTTGTGAATATCCAATTGTTGAGCTGGACAGGTTTCTATAAGTTTGGATGGTCTAACTTTACGCCTTATGTAAGTTGGGTGTAAAAGACAAATCATTGAAAAATTATGAACTATTGTTTGACAAGGTTGACTTTGGGTTGGTGAGAGTACTTATCATTATGGTTTGACCTTGCATGTGGTTGAGTGAGATCACTACTTGGTATGA